AATTCTCGTGTCGCGGTGTTTGTTAACAAACTCCTCCGAAACGGGTTTACCGATTTTCATAAAATTTTGTGTGCATATTGGGTAGGTTTGAGAATCGGCCAACATCTATTTTTTATATCTCTCAATGATAAGGGTGACCCACTTCAAATTTTTTTTTTTATTTTTTGCAAAATCTTTTATTTTTATTTTGTTAGGATTTAGCATTGAAAAATACATACAACTTAAAATTTTCACCGTTTTACGATCAACCTCTGTTTTTAATCGCGGTTTTTATATTCCGCAATAGAGTTGCAAGATGGCAATCGAATAAAAATTGTAGCATAAGAAATTTTCATGTATATATATATATATATATATATATATATTGTATTTTCATTGCACAAACTCTCCTTAATTTGGTGATCGCGGTAAATGGCGCTCTGTTATCAGTCCAAAGGTATTTATTTCTTTTGTTTTCTTTTTCAGAGAGTCCAGTATATTACTACCGAACGGCCTAGTGTATATTTTATAGACACGAATCATATGGACTATTTTAATTTGACGTCCCGGCGGCACAGTCGGAACGATCCGTTCTATTATGTTGATATCCATCTACGTCTGCATGTAGCCTGGGGAAACAATTATACCGTAAGTATTAAAAGGCAACCGAGTTTTTTATTATATATATATTTTATTATATATATATATATATATATATATATATATATATATATATATATATATATATATATATATACAATTAAAATAAAAATATGTCTACAGGGCGGACTTATTGCCTGATGGCATTCTCTACCAGTCAACCGTTGCGCTAAACAGAGAGAGTAAATGGCGGTGCATTGATTAAATTAAACACTGTCTGTACAGAGGGAAAGGGATTGACAGCCCCATTGCTAGCAATATGCCCTTTCAGGTCGACTTCCACGTGGTTCCCCCTGGAAACCACCGTGAACAATTCTTGTTGAATTCGTCACGATGAGCTAGCCGAGAGAGCCGGTGTATACCGATAGCGCGGGTGGGGTTGCTATTCCATTATCACCCATTAATACACTGTACATACGGTACAATCTTACAGGGTCAATTTCCATGTGGCCCCCGCATAAAATGGGCCACCCCTTCTTTTCCCGTGTGTATCGTAAGAAGCGATTTAGGGGTGGGCAGCAGCGTCTGTCTTAAAACATCTTTAAGGCCTAACTGCGATTGCCAATTCGCCTGCCAAGCGTGGCAACTGCTAGCAAACACCCCAAGGGGGAGGCTTATGTACGCAGTGGACAGTTAAAGGCTGCATGATGATGAATCACTTGTCTTATAGTCTTTTACTATATCTTTAATGAAAAAGTTTTGATTTTAGAGTGCGTAAAGTGAATACCTTTTTATTCAGGTTATGGAATGAGCTCTCTGCCGAGGTTTTCCCAAGAGACTACAGCATGGGGTTCTTCAAAAGGGGGGTAAAGAGGTTTCTTCAGGGTCGGCAACGCGCGCGTCGGCAACCTCTGGTATTGCAGGTGTTCATAGGCTACGGTAACCACTCACCATCAGGTGGGCCGTATGCTTGTTTGCCACCTCAGTGGTATAAAAAAAGATTCTCCATGATCAACACATTTTTACAACAATAACTGTTATTTGAAGGTTAGCTTCTATTTCTACGAGTTCCTGACCAACCAGTACAAGCGCGGCTTCATCGAAATGCACATCAAGGTCTGCGATTTGGTTTACAAAAATAAATTTTTTGGAACTCCAATGAAGAAAAATCTGCCATCATCTTTTTCATTATGCCCCTTTCCAAAGGTAATAAGAGTTCTCTATTAATCAACTAGCAATCCGCCTCGGCTATGCACGGGTATATAGTTGTCGAAAATAATATTTTTTTTTGCTGCTTGATATAGGCCTTCCCCATAAGGGGGGTTTTATCAATAGTTCTGGGTACCTCTGTCCCATTCGTGTTTCAACCGTGAAGCAGTTGTGTTTGCATGGCTGTGTTTCGGTTTGAAGGGTGGGATATGGCGTGAATTTACTGGGTACAGAGGAATAACACCTGAGTCCTCAGGAATGGCAACGCATGGGGGGTATCATGGGCGAAACAGTATACTTTGTTATGTCCATGGTACTGCTCACGTCTATAGGCGACGGTTACTACTTTACATCAGGTGGACCGTCCGCTTGTTTGCCATTCTGAGTAGCATGAAAAAATATCAGCAACGCACGCGTGACACAGGGATGTCAGTGTTATAGGCGTCCATAGGCTACGGTAACTTCGTTTACCATCAAATAGGCCGTATGCTTCTTTGCCACCATAGTAGTATAAAACAAATCTTTTTACCACCGATATTTTTTTAATAATAATAAGTACAGTCTGTTATATTATTTTTTTTTATTTTAGGGCGACTACCACATGTATAACATGACCATTCCTATAGAACAAGTTCCGAGGGGTTTCCCTTTCACCAAAGGGCGTATATATCTAAATGCAACTGTTACCGACACGGAAAAAGTGGTTCTTGCTCTATATATTGATATGGAATTAAGGGAGTTTAAATTAAAAACAAAACCCAAATAATTTAAAAAAAAAAATCTGTAATTCTATTACTTACAATAAAAAAACTAAAATAAAGAATATAGTTTTGATTGAGGATCTTAAAGTAAAAGAAAATTTTTTGGGGAATAAAATTAAATTAAATAAAAAAAAAAAAGATTTGGAGACTTCATTAAGAAGCATCTTTAAAATAATATTTATCTTTTTATTTTTAACCGACTTCAAAAACGGAGCAGGTTCTCGATTCGGTTGTATTTTTTTTTGTGTCCGTTGTCCCATAACTCAGTCATTTATAAACCAGTTTGGAAAGTTCTTTTTTTTATAATAATAATAATAATAATTTATTTGTTCGAAATGTGATTTGTACAAGTGGTCTCAAATGATAACATTTCTCCTTATCAAAAGGCATGCAAATTTTGTCTTAGCACGTGTTAGTACTTTTTAGTGGCTTAAATTTTTAAGTAAAAATTCATCAATTACATAAGTTCAAATAGTTATTTTAAATACTAAATACGTAATAATTGTTACATTTAATTAGTTAATTGTATGTGTCAACATTTAAAAATAGTAGATATTATAGTTTTTTTTTTTATCTGAAAATTTAATAAAATAGTTTTGCCACGATTCAAGTAAAGGTTTTTGTTTAACGGAATTTTAAATTATATGGTATCTTATATTTAAAAAAAAAGTATATTTTATTATCTTGGTAATTGGCTATTTGACAATATAAACATTAATGCTTTATTTAACGGTTAAGGGTTTTAAAAGTGGGATTCATTAATCTGACAAAAAATATATTATTAAGTATACATAAAACATTCCAAGCAACTTATTGTATTTTTATCTAGTATCACGTGATCGAAGACGATCTGGAAAGTATGACGTAACATGGAAGTAAACAATACGTCTACCATTGAAGCGATGAAAAAATGAGAACCTCCTTTTTTGAAGTCGGTTTAAAAGTAATAAAGAGGAAGACGAATGAGGCTTTTTTTAATGAATGATAATGGAATAGTAACCCCGCCTGCGCTGTCGTTATACGCTGGCACCAGTGAGAGATGACAGGTGAGGACGAAAGCAAGTCAGTTGGCTCACAGTTATGAATTCATAAAAAAAAGACAATCAAGATTGTTTCCAGGGGGGACCGCGCGGAGGTCGACCTGATAAGGTATGTTATTAGCAATGGGGCATCTAGTTCCATTACTAACAATCTCTTTCCCCCGACGAATGAGCTTTAGCTACCTGTTCATTTGTTAAACCCAACATCATATAAGTCAACTAGCGGTCCAGTACGTGCTTCGCTACATATAAAGTGAAATAATAAAAAAAGTTAATTTTAACATTAAATTGTACACGGACCCATATACATTTGAACAATTCAAGACTCACCGTTTGTATGAATGTACTCAACAATATGTTTAAAAATATAAACACAAAGCAATAATTATCGCTGACAATTTGCTTTAATCGAAGCACGTCCAAAATGAAATGACCGCATGAATGGCATAACAACATGCTTGTACTGTCAACACTGAAAAAGTTTCAATTTGACAGCATTTGACAGCTCCATCTTAAACAAAAATTGAATTTGACACAAAAATCCCCATTAACGAAATGATCTGCCATTTATTGAATTCATTTGTTACAAAAAATATGATAAATGAAGAACCGCTCGACCGATTTTGTGCAAACTTCACATAAACCATCTACTAAATAGTCCCTACAAAGCCTAAACATTTGGTTTGGATAGGTGAGCCCGTTCTTGAGTTATAACATTACAACGAAAAGTGGCATTAATTTTTATATATATAGAAGAGAAGATTAGCTTTTATCCTTGACTTCGTCCACGTGACCGGGATTGTTTTTTTATGGGTGTAAATGGAATAGTAACCTGCGCTAACGGGATACGCTGGCGGAGCACCAGTGAAGGGTGATAGATGAGAATGAAAACAGACCAGTTAGTCCATCATGATGAATTCATCTGGAATTAAGCATAATAGTTTCCAAGGGGAACCGCAAGGAGGTCGACCTGGTTGGGTATATTGTTAGCAATGGGATTTTTAATCTCCATTACTAACAATCCCTTTCCCCCTTGTAGTTAATAGGAATATTATTATTGCCGGTTTTTTGTATTTCATAGTATTTCACTATATTTTTTTTTATATATTATAATATAATAGTATAGGTTATATGATTTTAAATAAAAAAAAAAAACAGGAAATAAATTTAAAATTCCTCTGCTTCTCAGTTCTGAATTCACTGTTACAGTTTTTTCCTACTTGTCTAAGAGAGACCCTGTATATATTGACAAATACGTAGTCTGATAGCGGAAGTTAATTAAATTTATAAAAATAATCTTTGACATCCGTTATTAACCATACATTGTATGCGAACATACAGTTTTCGGTTTAATTATTTTAATAACAAATTTGACTCCTCATACAATAGTTCGCCACGGCACAAACGTTTTGTTATCGAGTGGAGATGGCTGGAGTATCGTCTGTTTATATTATTTTATTTAATATAATATTATTTGTTATTCAACACGAGACAAAGGTGGGTATCTGTTCAAAGAATATTTACATATTATTTAAAATAGTAAATACTTTTTGTCCCAGACTCCGAGTTGCAAAACAATGTGCCTTGTACCAGTCAGTCAAATAATTTAATAGATTACCCGCTGATATGAAAATCACTGAAAATTTCAATTACTTCAAAACTAAACTAAGAGTTGTTTTGTTGAAAGAATGTTTTTATTCTTTAGACGAATTTATTAATTGTGTGTTTGACAAGTGATTTAACTTTGTTATGTCAAGTAATTTATTTACTATTTATTATAAGCTATCGTTTAATTTTTTTTTTATTTTTTGTATTATTTTTTAATTGACCTCATTGTTTATTTCTTTAATTTTTAGTTTATAAAATGTTGTAACTTATATCAAACACAATTGTATGATTGTTATTGAATAAATAAATGAAAAAATAAATGAAATCAAAATATTTAACTATATTTTAACAAATTGAAAAGAGAGAGAGAGATTTTCGGATACTTATACTTAATTTTATTGTGTACTAGCTGTTGCCCGCGGCGTCACTCGCCTGTTAGTGTAAGTAAAAAGATAGTTGTATGGAAGTATGCTAGTTTCAAAGTTAGAAACATAAAAGTTCATTAAATATTTTTTTATGGATGATAATGGAATAGTAACCCCGCTTGTGCTATCGGTATACGCTGGCGGGGCACTAGTGAGGGATGATAGGTGAGGATGAAGCAGGTCAGTTAGCCCACCGTGACGAATCTAACAATAAATCAATCACGATGGTTTCCAGGGGGAACCACGAGGAGGTCGACCTGATAGGGTATATTGCTACTAACGCCCATTATTAACAATCCCTTCCTTTTATTCAACAAAAAATTCATTTTAGTTATCAAAAAGTTTATTATTTATTTATTTTTTGTAACACACTTTACTATTCTGTGGCCCCGCAATAAGCCACTCCTTCCTTTCCCATGAGTAAGGAACGGGCAGCAGGGATTCTCTTCATCACCAAAATCACCAAAAACTTCAGTTCCCAAACCGCTTTGCCAAGTTTCAGCTTCGCAAATCTATAAAAGAAATGCGTTTTATATAAATAAATAATTGAAATAAAACTACGGTAATTATGTTTGTATAATATAAATAAAGCATAAACCTTCCCGGGGGATGTTATTCAGGTATTTTGTAATTTATATTTCATTATTTGCACCTAGAAGTATAAAAAGAACCCTAAAACTATGTGTATTAAGTTGTTTAGCTAATAAGCCCGTACAAACATGCTAACCCTTTGAAACAAGAATAAAAAAGTAACCACTCTTTTTTTACTCTGAGGGGTGAAATTTCAAAAATCCTAAAATATACATTAATCAATTTAATCTATCATTATCAGGTCATTTTAATTTTTCTATTTGGGGTTGAATTTTCAAAAACGACAAATGACGTATTCATTTTTGCTGAAATTATTAATTTTAAATTTCATTCTTCTAACTTCAAAATAAACGAACCCTTCATAATAAGCTTAAAACCCCTATTTCACCCTCTTAAGGGATATATTTAATAAAAAAAAATTGTAATACATATTTATTTATTTCAACCAGAAACTTGTATATGAAATTCCATCCATCCATTTCATTTCATTCCATCCTGGGAGCATTTTGAAAATGATGGGTTTTCATACAACTATTCATCATTTATTTTACCCATTTTGAGGGTGGAGTTACTAAAAATTCCTCCTTAATGGATGTTTATATCCTAAAATGCATCGACTGCTAAAATTTCAAGTTTTTAGCAACTGTTGATTGGATTGCGGGTTGATATGACTAAATTAATTTGCCAATTATGTGCCGTTAATGATGATTCTATTTGTTATTTAAAAAAAATTGATAAAAGTAACATCTATGTTCTTTGACCGTTCTTCTAATCATTCATATCAAGTATAAGCGTTCCCCATAGGGGTTTTTTATGCAACTTAGAATGGCAAACAAGCTGACGGTTCACCTAATGGAAAGTGGTAACCGTCGCCTATAGACATGAGCGGTACCATGGACATAACAGAGTATACTGTTTTGCCCATGATACCCCTCATGCGCTGCCATTCTTGAGGACTCAGGTGTTATTCCTCTGTACCCTGTGAATTCAGGGTGTTTCGCCAGTAGTTGCTATGCTTGGCAGACAGGTTAGCAATCGCAGTATTTTTTTTATGCGTTTAAATGGTATGGTTACCCCGCCTGCGCTATCGGTATACACTAGCGGGGTACCAGTAAGCGGTGATAGGTGAGGATAATAAGGCAAGTCAGTTAGCCCATTGTGACGAATTCTATGATAAATTGGTCACGATAGTTTCCAGAGGGAACCCCATGGAGGTCGACCTGATAGGGTATATTGATAGTAATGGGGACTAAACTCCCCATTGCTAACAATCCTTTCACCCCTGGCAACCGCAGTTTGGCTTATAGAGATATTTTATGAGGAACACTGCTGTCCATCACACTATCATTAAGTTCCCTTAGTCTTAAGACACCAACAGGAAAGAAAACGGGCCTATTCTATGCTGGGACCATACGGATAATTAAAATATAATACGAGATTATATTTATTTACTAGCGACCCACCCCGGCTTCGCGCGGGTACACATTAAATCACGTCACATTAGAAACCTCTAAATTTATCAGTGTCTCTCTACAATATTATGTATGCATTATACATATAAACCTTCCTCTTGAATCACTCTATCTATTAAAAAAAAACCGCTTCAAAATCCGTTGCGTAGTTTTAAAGATTCAAGCATACATAGGGACGGACAGACAGCGACAGCGACTTCGATTTATACTATGCAGTGATTATTTTAGTTAATTAGAATAAGCCATATGTTTTTTAACTATTATTACATACATACATATCTGTCACGCCTGTCTCCCATTAGGGTAGGCAGAAACAATGGAACGCCAAATGCTTCGATTCAAACAAAGCTCTTTCGCTTCTTCCACATTCATCAATCTTGTCATACACGCTCGCCGGTTACGGGTACTTTTAATTTGGCCCTTCTTCAGCACGTCGCCTATTTGGCGACGTTATATTAACTATTATTATTTCATATAAAGGTATAATATACTCAATATTATTTTTCAGACTATCCAATACTTTAGTACCGAGCGGCCCAGTGTATATTTTTTAGATACCCAGCATATTGAGTATTTCAATATCTCGTCCCGGCGGCACGGTCGAAATGATCCGTTCTATTACGTCGACATTCATTTATGTTTGCACGTCGCCTGGGGAAACAATTATACTGTAAGTATATTTGTTTATTTATTTATATAAACTGTAATGCATAGTAAAATTCTATGTACATTTGGCGGACTTAACACCGAACGGTGGTCTCTACCAGTCAACTATTGGGCAAACTGAGAAATACGTATGCGGGGCATTTTTGAATACGGGAAAATATTATATAGGTTTATCATACTGAACATAAGCCTCCCCCTTCGGGAGTTTTGCCAGTAGTTGCCACGTTTGGCAGGCGGATTGGCAACTGCAGTTAGGCTTTGGAGATGTTTTAAGAGGGACGCTGCTCGTCCCTCGCCCTCACTTAGTTGCCTCTGATGACGCCTACAGGAAAGGAAGGCTTATTCTATGCCGGGACCACACGGGCAACTGTAAGTATAGTTTGATTCAATAGAACATAATAAAAATATAATAAAATTATATTTATTTTATTTATTTTACACTTTATTGCACCAAGTAAAAAGAGAAATACCAAATACAGTAAATATTAATGAGAAGTGATACAAAAGGCGGCCTTATCGCTAAGCAATCTCTTCCAGACATCCTTTGAGTAGAGGACATTGAGAAAAAGACAAAGGGTAGGTGGCGCACTATTATGGAAATATTATCATATACAAACATATATTCATACATACATACACATACATATATAATATATACACAATTAAATATATACATAACATACACATACTTAACAACACACATACAACAAAAAAAAATGACGAAGGAAAACGAAGAGAGAACACAGGAAAATTGTAAAACGACGCATATTATTTACAGGTTAGCTTCTATTTCTACGAGTTTCTGACCAACCAGTACAAGCGTGGTTTTATCGAAATGCACACCAAAGTATGTGATTTGATCCATAAAAATAATTTCTTTGGCGCTCCAATGAGGAAGTATTTCCCATCAGAATGTCCCATTCCTGGGGTAACGAAAATTCTATTAATTTTTATTTTTTGGTTATGTAGTTACTATTATATAGTTAATGATAAAATGTCAAAATCTTATTTTTTGATGTCAGTTTAAAATCAATTCAAAAGATAGGCGGAATCAGTGTTTGTTTAATTGGTGTAACTCCAGTTAAGATATACAAATAAAATGTTTGAAAACAAAATATTTTATGACGTACATACCCAGTAATAATTTAATTTTTAAATCCAGGGCGCCTACCATCTGTACAACATGACCATTCCCATAGAACAAGTGCCGAGGGGTTTCCCATTCACCAAAGGGCGTATATATGCGAATGTAACTGTTGCCGACACGGAAAAAGTGGTTCTCGCTGCATACATTGATATGGAATTAAGAGAATTTAAATTAAAAACAAGGCCCAAATAAAATTTTATGTATTTTATAATAGTTATAATAAAAAAACTAATGTAAAGAATGCGACTTTTAATTGAAGATGCCAATAAATCCTAGATTTCAAAATCAATATTGGTAAGCGGTCAGATGCATCACTAGTCGATCGTGATTGATTCCTAGCGGCGTTCCCTCAGTAATTCTGTAATCTATCGTATTCCAAGGGTGAGTATTAGAGTCGGATATAAAGTCATTCTAAATCATACATCCCAAGCTGGAACAGTAAGTAACGTGTACAGTACAGAGATCTCGAATGTTCTTATTTATTTATTTACACTTTATTGCACCATTTATAAAATAGTGAATACATTTAACTGTAATAAAAAATGATACAAAAGGCGGCCTTATCGCTAAGCAATCTCTTCCAGACAACCTTTGGGTAGAGAATATTGAGAAAAGAAAGAAAAACAAAGGGTAGGTGGCGCACATTATATATATATATATATATATATATATATATATATATATATATATATATATATAATGGCGGAAATTAGTCAAATCTATTTAAATTAACTTCCGCTGTTAGCTCAATATGTGACTATTAACTGTGATTATTTTTTAAATAAATATAATTATCCATAAGAATAACAAATTTATTTATTTATTTAACTCTTTATTGTACCAAAAATACGTACAACCCGCCACAAACTAAAGTTTCATCCCAATCATCTGGACGAGTGGCGGTCTTCCACCGTGCGTTTTTCAAGGCACTTTCTTCCACGCACAACCATTCTTTGGAATCAACTTCCAGCAGCACTATTTCCTAACCGATACGACAACATAACCTTCAAGAAAAGAGCATATTCCTTTTTAAAAGGCCGGCAGCACACCTGCAATGCCGCTGATGTTGTGGGTGATCATGGGCGGCGGTAGTCACTTACTACCGGATGCTCGTTTGCGTCCTGTGTTGTAAAAAAATATAATTATTTACCTGTCTTGACTAATATATGTACGATATATCTTCATTATAATTTGCGTTAAATGTAAATAGATCTGTATATCTTTAACCATTTACCTTTACTTGTTTTCAGTATTTTTCATCGCATATTTACATTTCTTGATTAACTGGGGCAAATGCAGTATAGAACGAGCTTTCACTAGATGAAGAGACGAATTCAAATGCATTGCTGGGAGTCCATGGATGCAGGTGGTTCAGGAACGTTCCTTGTGGCAGTCTACGGGGGAGGCTTATGTCCAGCAGTGGACGGATGATGATGATGATGATTAACTGTTTAATTTTCTAAAGGTTGACTGAAAGAGAATGCTATAAAGCCTTAGGTACGCCTTTTGTACCAATTTTTTTTGGACATGTAATATTTATTAATTAAACAATAGAATTTATTATTGGAACTTAATACCTGAAAATGTAAAAAAATATAAATTTAAATATATATTTGTTGTTACAGTATTAGTCGTTAACTGTCCACTGCTAAACATAGTCTCCCGCATAAGAAGGATTTTGCCAGTAGTTGCCACGCTTGGCAGCCGGCTTGGCAACCACAGTTTAGCTTTGATGATGTTTTAAAAGGTTCGCTGCTGCTCATTTCTCGGCCATCGACATCCACGAGATTTTTTTAAATTTATGGATGGCCTATTCTATGCCGGGAGATATGTATATATATATATATATATATATATATATATATATATATATATATATATATATATATATATATATATATATACACATATACTATTCTCTGTCATATATTATTCATAAGGGTTAATGTTACTAAATAGCTCTTGATTGTTCGTTCTTATTGGCCTTGAATTCTTCACATAGTAATGGTCACGCATTGCTGCTTTTGATCGAATTAAACACGTATTACACGAAATTATTTGTTATTTATATATAATAATTAACAATTATATTATATTAGCTACGCTTGTGACTCCGCCTGTGTAGAATACGTTTAAGTAATTAATGTATAAACAAACGTACAGACAATGTAAAAAAAATTGGATTTTTTACATATTTTTAAATAGTCTGACTGTACCTTAATAATAGTAAATAGACCATGATGTTATGTAAGTTATGTAGGTATGTTAATATTATGTAAACAAGAATATTTTTATATTAATTTAAATTAAATTAAGTTACTCGAAGGGCTCCCGCTGAAAAACAGCGCTGTAGCTTCTCTGCTGCAGCGAAACGCTGAGCGGGAATCATTTCGAGAAACATTACTTACCATCCACCCCATACATGTTATTTTACTTTTTTTTTTATAGAACTTAGAATGGCAAACAAGCTGACGGCCCACCTGATGGAAAGTGGTAACCGTCGCCTATAGATATCAGCAGTACCACGGACATAACAGAGTATACTGTTTCGTCCATGATACCCCCCATGCGTTGCCATTCCTGAGGACTCAGGTGTTATTCCTCTGTAATAACACCTGTTATTCACTAAATATTTATTTAGTGAAATAAACAAAGGATACTACTTTAATATCGATGAGTCATAACAATTAGATGTCTTGTTAAAATCATTTGATTATTCTATTTATCTATTATAATAATGATTATAACTAGAGGGAGACTTTGTATAAACGTCGTTTGCTTAGATACAGCTGTCCCATTCGTGTTTCTACCGGGTGGGCAGTAAAACAGGGTACAGAGGCGTAACACCTTTGTCCTCAGGAATGACAACGCATGGGGGGTATCATGGGCGAACCAGTATACTCTGTTATGTCCACGGTACTGTTCATGTCTACAGGCGAGGGTTACCACTTTCCATCAGGTGAGTTGTCAGTTTATTAGTCATTCTAAGTTGCATAAAAAAAAAAAAAAAACTACAAACACTTTTAAAAAAGTCAGCCAGCATTGCCAGCAATAACAATAATATAAAAGAGACGATATACTCGTAAATGCGATATTTTTACAAGGAATAAACATTTACACAAAAGGATATATCCATTTATGTGAGCACAAAGGGTTCTTACGACCCGAGAGTTACGAGGTTTCCTTGTGTTTAAAGCCACGAGACAAATCCAGGATCACACCGTTGAAGACGACGGCGCGGCGGATAAAAATGACTAATAGCTTGTTGCAGGTTACAACCAAAAATATGACGTTGCGAGTGTGTGAAGTGAAATGAAACCATAATAACATTGTTTACACGTCATTTTGAAGCATTTATAACGATTTCTGTTACTGAACTTACATAGTGAACTGGCATAGTGGGGGGGGGGGGGGAGGAATTGTTAGTAATGGAGTCTAACTGACCCATTGCCAACAATGCACCCTTTCAGGTCGATCTCCACGCGGTTCCCCTTAGAAACCATCGTGGTTAATTCTAGAGGAATACGTCACGATGGGCTACCTGACCTGTCTTTTTGGGGGAAAAGGATTGTTAGTAATGGAGTCTAACTGACACATTGCTAGCAATATACCCATTCAGGTCAACCTCCACGCGGTTCCCCCTGGAAACCATTGTGGGTAATTTTAGTGGAATTCGTCGCGATGGGCTAACTGACATGCTTTTATCGTCACCTATCATCCCTAACTGGTGCCCCGCCAGCGTATACCGATAGGGCGGGCGGGGATACCAATCCATTATCACCCATTTAAAAAAACTTGCCTTTTTATTTTCACCTGTCATTCGTCACTGGTGCCTCGCCAGTGTATACAGATATCAGATGTCTGGATTATCATTCCATTATTGTCTATTAAATAAATCTCCTGTTAGACCTGTGTTTCGGTTTGAAGGGTGGGATATAGCGTGAATTTACTGGGTACAGAGGAATAACACCTGAGTCCTCAGGAATGGCAACGCATGGGGGGTATCATGAGCGAAACAGTATACTCTGTTATGTCCATGGTACTGCTCATGTCTATAGGCGACGGTTACCACTTTCCATCAGGTGGGCCGTCAGCTTGTTTGCCATTCTAAGTTGTATAAAAAAAAAAGACAGAAAAATAAAAGAGAGCCAGGATAAGGTAGGCGTGTAGAATTAATTAAAATTTATCCCACACGTAAATTCGCTTACCTATCCTACTAAGTCTACTCCGAAATCAATTTTACTTTTAAACAATGATGAATATGAAACGGCAGAGGGATCTGTTGCATTAAAAAAATCGTGTTCGCATCACAGCGACTTATGATTAAGGATTCCGAATTGATCCCGAAACTAGTTGAGTTTTCTCAATCTACTTACGCGTAAGTTAAACCGGTAGGTATTATATTTAAAAAATTATAACAAATTAAAATTTTACCCCAATTATTAAAATATGATTCACACAAGAATTATTGTTATATGATTTTCATATTTTAACAAATAATAATAATAACAATTTCAGCCGCTAACTGTCCACTGCTGAACATAATGAGTATGATGGGCGAAACAGTATACTCTGTTATGTCCGTGGTACTGCTCATGTCTATAGGCAATGGTTACCACTTTCCATCAGGTGGACCGTCAGCTTGTTTGCCATTCTAAGTTGTATAAAAAAAAATTATCACACCTACTTGTACAACAATTAATTCATTACTCTAAGGTTGTCTTGAAAAGACTGCTCTCAGCAATAAGACCGCCTTACTGTACTTATATAATACAACTGTATTGTTTCGTTTATTGTCTTGCTTATTCCTTATATTGTACAATGCAAATAAAGTGTACTCATTCATTCATAAACAAATGGAACGAACCACCTATACTGTATTTATATTCTTTGATGCGATTTACGGCGCAGCATAGGTTCAGATTACGTGGGAATCCTTCCAATGTGCTGACAGACACGTCTGATCCGTGTTGATTCTAAAATTAAAATGATATTAAATTTATTGTTTGTGTGTACTTATATCCATAACTAGTTCTATCCCGCGGCTTTGTCCGCACGAATCAGTGCATATTATGTTATTGTTATAATATAACCTACTCGTGTACCAAATTTTATTCAAATCCATTCAGTAGATTTTGCATGAAAGAGTAACAAACATTCATGCAGTCTTTATAATACTTTTACATTTATAATATTGTTTACTACATTTATGGTATAAAATAGATAATAATATTAATCTTTAGAAACTTTAATATTTATAATATTTGCTTTTTATTATGAATGGAAATTGTACATTCAAAGGCGAAGATAGGGCTTTGATATAACGCCTACTCAGTTGGTACAAGCAAAAGATCAAGTCGAGGTATTAATCTACATAATTCTGTCAGTTAAAATGTTTTAGTACAATTGTAATAATAACCAAAATATATATTATTTATTAATATATATAATATTATATTCCATTATAATCCTGATAAATTCATATAATGGGCCAACCTCCTCACTGATATATTTTTTTAATGGCTAAGGTAACCCTGTTACCAGTCCATTGATTGGTAACTCTGCCTACGTGGGGGAAAGGGCTTGTTAGTAATGGGTTCTAATTGACCCATTGCTAGCAACACACCCTATCAGATCGAGCTTCACGCGGTTCCCCCTGGAAATCCTAGTGGAATTCGTTACGATGGGCTAACTGACCTACTTTCATCGTCACCTATCATCCTTCACTGGTGCTCCACCAGCGTATACGGATAGCACAGACGGGGTTACTATTTCATTATCATCTATTAAAAAAAATAGGATCAAATATCCCCATTACTAACAACCTGTCAGGTCGACCACCACGTGGTTCCCCCTGGAAACTATCGTGACTACTTCTTGTTGGATTCTTCACGATGGGCTAACTGACCTGCTTCATCCCCATCTGTTTTTTTCACTCTCACTCACTAGTACCCCGCCAGTGTATACCGTTAGCGCAGGCAGGGCGCTATCATTCCATTATCACCCATTAAAAAAAACCGCCTACGCTAACGGTATACTGTGGCGAGGCACCAGTGAGGGATGACAGATGAGAATAAAAAGGCAGGTCAGTTACCTCATCGTGATGAATACATCTGGAATTCAGCACAATGGTTTCCAAGGGGGGGCATGTGGAGGTCGACCTGATATTGCTAGCAATGAGACTGGTAGTCCTTATTACTAATAATCCCTCCCCCTCACTGATATTTTGCCTGACCAGGTTACTATTCCATATTCATCCATAAAAGTAGCACTAGAATCTTAGTGATAGAGACACGACTGGGACAAAGGTAACCCAAGCAGATTACGTATAAATGTTTAAAATTCTGATCGAAGTCGTAGGCTCGGCTGGTAATTATAATTCTGCATGGTGCAGTTCAAGAGGTCACGGCGCTGCCGAGAAAATCAATGATAGTAGAAGAAAATATACGGTCGCCATAGTAACAGAGCTGCAAACAACCGCAGCTGTCCAGAAATAATCGGCTTACGTAATAAAATTCTTGCAATAGGAACCTTATGATGTTATTATTTGAAAAAAGAAACGCGGGAAATATTTAAAAAAGTATCCAGTACAATGGAAGGTACTCTATGGCTTTACAGTGCAATCTGTAACAACAGAGATTTATAGTTATAGACAAGGTAAAAAAAAAAGATTTTACAATACAATTGACAGTTAAGTTTTCGTTATCATCATATCAAATTGTAACCAAACTGTACTGGAATCGATATCAATAGGAGCGCCCAGTAACTACGTGCGAGCACGTAGACGACACTTATTCGATGTTCCATTAAGAAGAACAGAGTTGGCTAAGCAAGCTCCCCTATCTCTTGCATTGAAACTACCCAATGATATTTTGAGCCAGTATCCGCAATTGGATGTATTTGCCTCCAACTTGCTGGAGTTTCGTCGAGTGACCACAGAGTATTTGTGTACAGACGTTTTTTGTTTGAGTTAAATCTTTTTATATTATTTTTGTGTAATATTCCTTTTTATATGTTATTGTATTCATGTTTTTCTGGGTGAGCGTATTGGAAGACTGTAAGGCTCACCCAGTGGATGTAAAAAAAAAATAAACTAATAAATTATCGCCCATTAAAAAAAAAACTTAGCACTTTTTTTTATACAACTTAGAATGGCAAACAAGCTGACGGCCCACTTGATGGAAAGTGGTAACCGTCGCCTATAGACATGAGCAGTACCATGGACGTAACAGAGTATAGTGTTTCGCCCATGATATCCCCCATGCGTTGCCATTCCTGAGGACTCAGGTGATATTCCTCTGTACAGTAAATTCACGCCATATCCCACCCTTCAAACCGAAACATAGCCATGCAAACACAACTGCTTCACGGTTGAAACACGAATGGGACAGAGATACCCAAGCACTCGACTTTTGTACAAAGTCTCCTTCTTTCCATAATGATTTATGTGAGCGAAGCCGCGGGATATACCTTAGTTTTATCATAGCTTAAAAGAAGTACCTTATTTTTTCAACCAACTTTAAAGTGAAAGAGTTTGTCAATTCGGTTGATTGCTTTTTATGTTTGTCGCCTTATAAAAAATACCAGAGGGAGCATGTACAAAAGTCGTTTGCTTAGGCACCTCTGTGCCATTCGTGTTTCTACCGTGAAGCAGTTGTGTTTGCATGGCTGTGTTGAATTTACTGAGTACAGAGTAATATCACCTGAATCCTAAGGAATGGCAACTCGTGGGGGGTATCATGGACGAAACCGTATACTCTGTTATGTCTATAGTACTGCTCATGTCTAACTATATTATCATTTCCATCAGCTATTTTGCCATTCTAAGATGCATAAAAAAAATGCAAATTTTTTTTACTGAAATTTTTTATACTCGTACACACAGATTGATGTCATGGAAATTTTAGAAAAATAAGTAAATTAAGTAGATTTGAAATAAAAATAACTGATTTTAGTCAGTTTCATTGTGAAATAAAATCTTAAGTTATGTTATTTTTTTTTTAAATTAATCAATTAAATTAATTACAAAAATAAATTGTATACTTATAATAAAATTGTAATAATAAGATACATACATAGGAGATGTGATGGTCAAGACACGAATGACCTAAGTGTATTAAAAAAAATATTGTAGATATGATGTAACTTCCAACTCTGCTTCAAAGTAATATAAGGGCATAATAAATTAATACACGCTAGACACAAATAGGCACGTTGTTATCATCTTATTTGTATGATAATTACTAAGTACTCAACAAATTATAGGTAATTGCTTAAATTCGCGTGACTCCTCCAGGTCACTTATCGTACGATTAAATTTGAACTTTATATTGAATGCAGCAAGGACTTGTTTATAAATAATTTATACTCATGTAGATTAATTACAAAAGGTCATGTTTCCAATAATCGTAGATTTCATTTTTATTCCACTTATTATTCATCTTAAATACTTGATTTTGACGTCATCGTCATCGTCATATCAGCCTTTAACAGTCCACTGCTGGACATAAGTCTTTGGGTGTTTTGCTGATAGTTGCCACGCTTAGCAGGTGGATTGGCAACCACAGTAAGGTTTTGAAGATGTCTTAAGAGGGACGCTGCTGCCCATCCCTCGCCGTCCCTAAGTCACCTCTTTCGATACCTACGGAAAAAGAACGGGTAGTCTATTCTATGCCGGGAACACACGGCGTTTTGATATAGGTTAAAATAATTTCTGTGTGGTCCCGGCATAGCATGGGTCACCTTTTTTTTCCCGTGGGTGTTGTAAGAGGCAACTAAAGAAATTTAATGATCGAGGGATGGTAGAAGCGTTCTACTTAAATATCACCAAAGCCTAACTGCGGTTGTCAACCGAAAAAATGAACAGTACTCAGAAATGGCAACGCATGAGGGGTACTATAAACATACCACTTACCACAGATTACCCCTTACCATCTGCTGTACCACCAGCTTGTTTGCTATTCTAAGTTTCGTAAAAATAAAAAGCACACTAATAAATAAATTGTTGATTCACCTCATTTGACTTCAAAGCAACTGGTTGTGGAAAACAGCCGCCATTAATGTCAACAGTTTGCCCTGACTTTTGACATTCTGGAACATCTTGATTTGATATAAAAACGAATTAAATGGGGCGCTTCTATTTTTTGTATTATATATGTATTCTTTTATCTTTTTTCACTATGCATCTATATATGTTTTTGTTTGTTTGCTGTAAGTAATGCAAACCAATAATCTATCGATCTATTTATCTATCTTATTATGAAGGCCTATACATTAAATTAAACTGCCCTGCGAATTTTCACCAAAATGAATGTATGAATGAATGAAAACTCTGTATTTTTCCTTTCAAAGAATAATACAGGTTATAAAGATTAACAATATGTACACAAACAAAATGTATTAGTTTATTACATAAAAGCAAGATAAAGAGGCAACAATGGGCGGCCTTGTCGCCAAATAGCGATTTCTTCCAGACAACCTTAGAATGGAGAGGAATAATAAAAACTGCGTCTGGTCTAGACGTAACAGAAAAATATTAAGACTAAAAAAGGGAGGAAAAAAGATAAAATTAAACGCAGTATAAATAATATAAATAAAAATACTTACACAATAATAGATTTTGCGAACAAACCTGATATCGTGCACTCTCGAGGGTGTTTTTGGTGGATGTCACCATACCGCATGACGAGAACCTCGTGACAGCCGAAACTGAGAAAAAGAGAAAATATCTCGACTTGGCTCACAAGGTGACCGAAATGTGGGGGGTGACGTCCACCGAAATAGTTCCAATCGTTTAATCGGTGAACGGTCTAATCCCAACTAATCTGGAACAACATCTCAGACGGTTGGGATTCCGAGGCGGCTCACTAACGGGAAGAATGTAAAAAGCGGTGCTCTTAGACTCTGCCTGCATTGTACGCCGGTTTCTCTCCCTGGGGCCCTATACCCCGGCCGACTGTGCTTCTGCCGGGGGTTAGTTGCCATCTCCTCTCCTTAAGAGGGGAGATGTGATGTTTTGGAATAATAATAAAATACTGGAGTGAGACTTTGTACAAAATTCGTTTGCTTGGGCATTTCTGTCCTATTCTTGTTTCTACCGTGAAGCAGTTGTGTTTGCACGGCTGTATTTCGGTTTGAAGTGTGGGATATGGCAGTGAATTTACAGGGTACAGAGGAATAGTTTATTTATTTTGCTGAATTTCCTTACTTTCGTTCTTGGCGCGGTTTTGGTGATGTTTTAAGATACGCGCTACTACTTAATCCATCTCTCGATCATTAAGTTTCCTTAGTCGCCCACGGGAAAGGCTGGCCTATTCTAATATCGGGAGTAGATGGTAGTATCCCACCATACTAACCAAAACACAGCCATGCACAATTGCTTGACAGCGGAAAAGATTGATCAGTTACTGTACTAAAGCCTGAGCCTTACGCAATGTGCGTGGGTGTTGAAGTATCTGTGAGATTATTGTCACGGTGATTATTTATATTATTAATATGTACATAATTAATTATTAATGCCATTTTGTTGTATTACTTTAATATTTTTACCGACAGATTTCCTGCCGTGATTGTTTCTCGCCTCGCTCGCTGTTAAAGCCTTGAAACTAAAAAAAATGTACGACAAGTAAATCTGTTATAAGCAAAAATAATTTTCTATATTTCTATTGATATCTTTAAGACAGACCTCTAACAGTACAGGCAGAGATAGCTATTTACTCAATTAGACATCACTTAGATAATGTAGCTTCCTATAGGTGAAAGAATTTTTAAAATCCGCTGAGGAGTTTTTGGGTTTATCCATAACAAATAAACGAACAATCAAATGATTTGATTTTGATTTTGGGAGACTTTGTACAAAAGTTATTTGCTTGGGTACCTCTGTCCCATTCGTGATTCTACCGTGAAGCAGTTGTGTTTGCATGGCTGTGTTTCGGTTTGAAGGATGGGATATGGCGTGAATTTACAGGGTACAGAGGAATAACACCTGAGTCCTCAGGAATGGTAACGCATGGGGGGGTATCATGGGCGAAACAGTATACTCTGTTATGTCCATGGTACTGTTCATGTCTATAGGCGACGGTTACCACTTTCCATCAGGTGGGCCGTTAGCTTGTTTGCCATTCTGAGTTGTATAAAAAAAAATCTTTCCTCTTTATAACATTTTTATGTATAAAGTCCGTGTTACGATGTTTGTGGTCGAACTCCTACGAAACGAGCTCATTTAAGTCAGGGTTCGCAACTCTAGCATGTAATACACATCGCATTGTAAACGTGTGTCTCGCTCACTCGTACATGTTTTCTATGTATCGTGTCATATCATAAGAGATTTCTGACAATCCTCGCGACGTATGCGAGGTGTGAAAGGAATTGAAACAATTTAGTCAACATCGCGCGCGGAAATTCCCTGGTATTGCAGGCGTTTATAGGTTACTCAAATGGGCCGTATGCTTATTTGCCACCTCAGTGGTATAAACAAAAATTGTCAAGCATTGCCATATTCACAAAGGAAAATTATTTGAATATTATTTCTAAGAGTATGTCATTTCTACCTAGTATATTTCACCTTATGGTTTGTAACTAGATGGCGTTGTGTGTTAAGTAAGGACTCAGGGTTGTTTATTTTTATTTTATTGTTTACGTGGAACATAAATAAATAATTATTACGAATCAATTGCATAATTACTGATATAACCGCTCTCAGCACGTAGCACTTATCATTTTAATGCTCCCTTGAGATCATTCATAAACAAAGTACTTGTATCACTATTTGATACTGTATTAAGATGAGAAAAGGTTCAAAATGAATTCGAATTATTGGCGGTTACGACGTTGCGTCGCTGAAGCTGGCAAATCGTGATTGTGCTGCATACTTTGAACTGACCTTGAAACACTCACGCTTAGATCGCACAGACAATGAGAAAAGTGTTTATTATTTATTTAAAAATATAAAAATTTTGAATGGAGATGTCGGTAGGGGCCGCCCTAGACGGACGTATGTTGACCAAATAGGCGACGTGCTGAAGAAGGGCCAAATTAAAAGTACCCGTAACCGGCGAGCGTGTATGAAAAGATTGATGAATGTGGAAGAAGCGAAAGAGGTTTGTTTGAATCGAAGCATTTGGCGTTCCATTGTTTCTGCCTACCCTAATGGGAGACAGACGTGACAGATATGTATGTATGTATGTATGTTAAAAATATAAAAGTAAGTATTTTACTTATTAATAAAAAAAAAAAAAAACTCAAAATTGTTACACAACAGTTATTGTTCATGTTAAAAAAAATACAGTCGAAATTAATACCTTTTCGCTTTTTGAAACATCTGGAGATGCAGTCGAGAATAATCTAAACCGAATCAATTTAAAAGAGTGATAATTAATTTTTTTTTTGTGATACTGTGAAATGTACTCAATTGATTTTGATTTGTTTAACGATATGAAAAATAAATTTAAAAGATTTAGTTTTTTTAAACTAGTATAAATGAGAATCGACCCTGAGACCTCATTTATAAACAACGTAAATATTATTATTATTATTTCAGCCGTTAACTCCCCACTGCTGGACATAACCCTTTCTCATAAAGGAGAGCTTTGCCAGTAATTGCCACGCTTGGCAGGCGGATTGGCAACCGCAGCAGCAGCCCACCCCTCGTCCTCCCTTAGTTGGCTCTTACGACACCCACGGAAAAGGAAGTGGTGGTCCATTCTATGGCGGGACCACAAGACGACGTGACTATACAAAGTATCATTTTGTTATATTTAATAGCGGACATTTATTATGTATTTTTTTTTTAAGGATGAAAATGTTATTGTTACTCCGCCTGCGCTAACGGGATACGCTGACAGAGCACCAGTGAAGCGTGATAGATGAGAATGAAAACAGGCCAGTTAGCCCATCATGATGAATACATCAGGAATTATCCATGATAGATTCAGGGGGAACCGCGAGGATGTCGACCTGGTTGGGTATATTGCTAGCAATGGGATTCTCAGTCTCCATTACTAACAATCCCTTTCCCCCCATTTATTATGTATTTGGAATTGAATACTGACAATGTCAGAGGCGGGATCTAGAGACGGTGACCTCGTTTACACTGCTAGTCGGACATTTTATTCGAATTATAAAAAAAACGCTCGAAGATTATTAAAAATTTAAAGATCATACACTATTTCCACCATCAACATACTTAAATTGTAATTACTTCGTTTGACGAAACTACAAAATTTGAAATTTAATAATATCCAGCTTTTGAAGCGGGGCGTTCAAAGCGAGCCAAGTTTATAATCAGTTAGCAACTTGTGTAGGCGCCTGTACTCGTTCATCAAGTAAGTTAACAGTCAAGTACAGTCGCTGACTTATGTAATGACGAGCAGCAAAAGGGTAATTTAACAAGCTTATTATATTTACCTGAGTTCACCCACTTGTGCTATGTTAAAATTACACCACACCCCGGACATTTCAAACAAAAACGCCACGATACGTGATTGTCACAACTGCAGAAACAAGTAACGTCTGTAAGTATATGTGACAATGTGTGCGTGTGGGGGAAAGGGATTCTAAGTAATGGAGACTAAGAATCCCATTGTTAGCAATATACCCAACCAGGTCGACCTCCTCGTGGTTCCCCTGGAAACTATCATGGTTAATTCCTAATAAATTCATCATGATAGACTAACTGGCCTGTGGGCGAACCCCTGTACCCCGGTTATGTGCCGAACAATGTCCGCCTGGCATCTTCTTCTTGTTAATAATTTCAGTGGTGTTGATGAAGGACCTCTTCTCTCTTGAATTTATATATAGTTCTTTTTTTAATAATAAAATAGTCGTTATATTGAATATATATTCTTTTATTTTCTTTTAAGTAGATCTGACGTTCCTGTGAATTAAGAAATAATATGTATATTGGCGCCTAAACGGCTAGAAGCGCTACAGTCAAAGAGTACGTTTCTATTACTAACACATACCAAGTGACCATATGTAATGACATAAATAACCAGTGATTTTAACTTATTTATTTATAAGATTACCAACATAAGATACAGCTAAACATTTTCTAATTAGTTTAATAAACAACTT